CTTGAACCCAGAGCCACAGGACCTCAGCCACACGCACCTAACCCCTGCACTAGTCCAGAAGCCAGGCAGCTCCTAGACAGGGAGGTGAGCCAGAGCTAAGACCACAGGGGGACAGAATGGCTCCAGCCTCTCAGCCTCTTCAGTATCTTTTTTTTTTTCCCAGTATCTTTTAATTTTAATACAATTTCAAATTTGCCTAAGAGCTGCAAGAATAGTGCATCCTAAGCAGTCTGGGAGGCTGAGGCAAGAGGGACTTGAGAAAGGGTTGGGAATGTTAGGTCAGTGTGAAGACCCTGGATTCAACCCTGAGTACAATCAATCAATTAACCAATATCAATCTTCTAATTTTTGAAAGTTAATGATAAATACCAAAATCTTGAAAAAACATAGGAAGATTGCTTGTGGCAACACTGTAGAGGTCAGGGAGATGGCTCAGTAGAATAAGCGCTTGCCTGACCTATGCAAGGGTCTGAGTTCAATCCCTGGTTCCACCAAAAAAACCCCAAAACATACACTGTTTGTAACAGTAGAATTTTTTTGGGGGGTCAATTTGATGGGTACATTTTACATATATATATATATATATATTCCCCCCCCCCCAGAACCAGGGATTGAACTCAGGGCCTCACGCTTGCCAGGCAAGTGCTTATTCTACTGAGCTATCTCCCCAGGACCACCAAAATATTTTTTAAAGCACTTGGGGGTGGTCGCCGCTGTCCAATGTGCCTCAGGCATACTGACCCTGTTTCCTTTGAATGGAGCAAAATAAAATAAGTGTTTTTCAGTTTAGCTCCAAAGAAGACACAAAAATGAAAGTCCTGTGGGGGACAATTGCAACCTTTCTGCAGGTGGAAACAGAAAAATTCTGCTCTTACAAGCACCTTTATTCCTCCTCAGAGATGGAGGAAGATTTTGTCATTTAACATCTGGGGCAAAAACTTTTTCTTTCTTTCTTTTTCTCTTTTTTGAGATAAGGTCTCATTATGTGTTTCAGGCTGGCCTAGACTCCCTCAGGAGCCCAGGCTGGCCTCAGACTCACAGCAATCCTCCTGCCTCAGCTTCCCGAGTGCTGGGATTACAGGCATGTGCTACCATGCCCTGGTAAAACCGCAAGGTTTTAGAACGAGGCTTTCCTAGCAGCCTACTGATTGTTCTGGCTCCTTCCTATGAGAGGACCTCAGCCACAAGAAGAGCGGCAGTGAACTCACATGGACCCAGCTTTGTAGGTCTCAAAGAAATCTCTACACTGCTGGATTTTCATTATTTTTTCATTTAGTGTTGAGACATCTGGTTACACTCACTATCCGGCTGGCAAAAGAACTATCAAACAGAGAAGTACTTAACTCAAAGAGAAAATACTAATTAGCTTGCCAAAAACATTCAGGGAAGAGAATAAAAAACTAAAGCAGATCTTTTTCTTTTTTCTTTCTTTTTCTTTCAGTACTGGAGATTGAACTCAGGACCCTGCACTTGCCAGGCAAGCACTTACTCTACTGAGCTATCTCCCCGGCCCCTAAAGCAGATCTTGAAACACTATTGGCCCAGATGAAGGACACCTTTTGGAAGCAGGAACAACAACAAGAAAGAAATCCTAGGAGAATTAATTTATTTGAGAGAGGGTTTCACTCCGAAGCCCAGGCTGGCCTTGAGCTTGAGGGGCACCTTCTGCCTCAGCCTCCCAAGGGCTGAGATTGTAGGTATGTGCTACCATCTCTATCTAAAATTAGAATTTATCTTATTTTACTTTTTTCCTGTATTTTAGGGAAAGTCTACAGGGTGTTCAGGGTCTCACTACTA